CGAATGGATCTCCTCGTCATACAAATCTTCATAATCATGACCAGCTCCAGCTCCAGAATCTCCACTAGCACCGGCCTTAACCGATGGGTTGTTCTTCAAATCCTTCAACTTCTTGCGCACACAATCGAGAATGGCCTCGTACTTCATGATCAAGGACACGAAGTCCTCCTTCGTCACGCAAGACTCATACTCTTTCTCGAGCCAGTCCACCCACTCTCTTAGACTCATTAGCGGCATCACGTCGCCATTGCAACGGAGATAGTCGAAGATTATATCTTCGACGGAGGGGTCGCCGAAAGAGTGGAGCCTGCCCGTGCTGGAGAAGACAATGACTGCGGTGCGAGCGCCGGTGAGTTCGCAAAGGGCGGAGGCCTTCTTGAAGAGCCCCTCACGCCTCTTCGAGAACGTCACGCGCCGCTTGGCCGGGTCGTCGATCTTGGTGATTTCCGTTCGCCGGCGCTGAACCGTTAACAGCGAAGTATGCAAATGTTTTTCGCTCGGAGAGGGCATGGGCGCGCGGGCACGCATGCCCAAGCGAGTTTGCAGATTTGTTGGTTTTCTTGGAGGGAGAGAGGGTGATGAACGAGTTCGCATGGTTCTGGAATTTCTTGGAGAAAGAGAGAGAGGAGGAGAGTGAAGAGGTTTGTGGTATGAAATGAGAATAGTATATGGAGCGATTTGGAAAGATTGTTGTTTGATGAATCTGGCTTTGAGTTTGATGTTTTGAGATGCTATAAAGAACGAGGCAAGTGCCTGTATTTATAGGCCATAATGCAATGAACATCAATATCGAGTATCGCTACCACACCCGTCACTTGGATTTGGATTATAGTGATGACCTTGGAGGTGTAAAAAAGGGCCATTAAGTGTCGTTACCATACCCCTCACTTGGAATTCGTAAAAAAGGTCTTCAAGTGTAGCTACCACACCCCTCACTTGGATTTGGATTATAGTGATGACCTTAGAGGTGTAAAAAAAGGTCATCAAGTGTCGCTACCATACCCCTCACTTGGAATTCGTAAAAAAAAGTCTTCAAGAGTAGCTACTACACCCCTCACTTGGATTTTGGATTAAGGAGGTGTAAAAAAAGATCATCAAGTGTCTCTACCACACCCCTCACTTGGATTTGGAGTATAGTGATAACATTAAAGGTGTAAAAAAAAGTCATCAAGTGTCGCTACCACACCCCTCACTTGGAATTCGTTAAAAAAGGTCTTCAAGTGTAGCTACCACACCCCTCACTTGGATTTTGGATTAAGGAGGTGTAAAAAACGGTCATCAAGTGTCGCTACCACACATCTCACTTGGAATTCATGAAAAAAAGGTCATTAAGTGTCTCTACCACGCCCCTCACTTGGATTTGGTTTATAGTGATAACCTTAGAGGTGTAAAAAAAGGTCATCAAGTGTCGCTACCACACCCCTCACTTGGAATTCGTTAAAAAAAGGTCTTCAAGTGTAGCTACCACACCCCTCACTTGGATTTTGGATTAAGGAGGTGTAAAAAAAGGTCATCAAGTGTCGCTACCACACATCTCACTTGGAATTCATTAAAAAAGGTCATTAAGTGTCGCTACCACGCCCCTCACTTGGATTTGGATTATAGTAATGACCTTAGAGGTGTAAAAAAAGGTCATCAAGTGTCGCTACTACACCCCTCACTTGGAATTCGTAAAAAAAAGTCTTCAAGTGTAACTACCACACCCCTCACTTGGATTTTGGATTAAGGAGGTGTAAAAGAAGGTCATCAAGTGTCGCTACCACACATCTCACTTGGAATTCATTAAAAAAGGTCATTTAGTGTCGCTACCACGCCCCTCACTTGGATTTGGATTATAGTAATGACCTTAGAGGTGTAAAAAAAGGTCATCAAGTGTCGCTACCACACCCCTCACTTGGAATTCGTAAAAAAAAGTCTTCAAGTGTAGCTACCACACCCCTCACTTGGATTTTGGATTAAGGAGGTGTAAAAAAAGGTCATCAAGTGTCGCTACCACACATCTCACTTGGAATTCATTAAAAAAGGTCATTTAGTGTCGCTACCACGCCCCTCACTTGGATTTGGATTATAGTAATGACCTTAGAGGTGTAAAAAAAGGTCATCAAGTGTCGCTACCACACCCCTCACTTGGAATTCGTAAAAAAAAGTCTTCAAGTGTGGCTACCACACCCCTCACTTGGATTTTGGATTAAGGAGGTGTAAAAAAAGGTCATCAAGTGTCGCTACCACACCCCTCACTTGGAATTCATTAAAAAAGGTCATTAAGTGTCGCTACCACACCCCTCACTTGGATTTAGATTATAGTGATGACCTTAGAGGTGTAAAAAATGATCATCAAGTGTCGCTACCACACCCCTCATTTTTTACACCTCTCACTTGGATTTGTGTCACTATCACCCTCCTCACTTGGATTTGAATTGTAGTGATGACTTTAGAGGTGTAAAAAATTAGGGGTGTGGTAGCGACACTCGATGTTGATCTTCGTTGCATTATGGTGCTGGGAGTCTCTATGCATATAGTTCTAATTTCTTTATTATTATTATTGTTATTATTTTGGGGGTCATAGCATTGACCATGCTCGTCAACGGTTGGAAACTTGATGTTGCATTAATCCACACACCGAGAGATGGAAATTTCGAACCCGACCAATACAACTTCGAGAGAAATCGAAGCCGCTTTTACGTGGCATTTGACCAAATTCATAAGACCTGTCCAAGGTTAAATACTACATGCTGGCTGAACAAAGAATTTTTGACAAACGCATTTCGAGATTTTTTTTTTTTTGTATTTTCCAGTATTCGGGTATTATTATCATTTTCTTTTCTTTTCTTTTCGTCTATGCCACCGTAGTCATGAAATTCCGTTGTTCTAAATTCACCGGGTATTAAACATTAAGTTGAAGGAGCTATTGGGACAAACCAATATATCACAAATATGTCGCATTTCGGGGGTAAAATATCATCCAATTTGGAGGAAAATCTATCAAGCTGGAAAATTAATCTAAATCAGTCAAGGTCAGTGCTAGTGGTAATTCTGGACTCAGATGTCAAAAATTTTGGAACAATTCTAATTTTTCATACTTTCAACTTGACCTATGTAGATCGTCGAACTACGTGCCGGAACTTTTTACTTTTGTTAATTAAATACTTTGCCCGTCATGATATGTGAAATTGGTAATTCGTCCAATCAATTCCTTTTACCATTGACACCCGACGTGGCAACTGAAAGTAAAGAAATCACTTTAAACTATAAAATTCAATTTAACAGAAGATGAGAGGAAAAAAATATAGTGACATGATAGGAGGAGAGAGAGCATGGCTATCGACCGTCGTATTCCATTGATATCCCATCATGACCTTGCCACCATCTAGTCCACCGCCATCGTTGAGCTTAGTGGATCCTATCGTGAGGTTAAACGAGGTAAACTTATCACAAAAATTTTGTATCGAAATTTTTTAAAAGAATGTTGGTCCGTTTGTCTACATTTATGATTTTTTTTTCTTTTTATTCTCTTAAAAAATTTGAATATGGAAAAACCTTTGAATAAAAATGTATGACAAGCTATATTTTCATTTCTTAAGGGGTCAATATTTCGTGTAAAATAGTTATAATAATTGTAACATTTGATTAAAGGAATAAAGGTTTTGAAAATAAACGACCCTCTAAATAAAAAATATAATACCCAGCTAAAAATTGTACTCTAATGTATAAGACATTTTTTTTTGGTCGAATAATCTATAAGACATTACAATGCAAGATATTACACGTTCTCTCTTCTCATGGTTCAAGGTTCTTCGTGAGGCATCATCTCGTAAAACCATACATAGACAAAACCCACTTAAATATCACGTGCAAATCTCAATTGACACTAAAGCTCCATTTATTTCACAAAAATGAATAATTCGAAAAAAAATTTACTAAAAATGATCTCTTAAATCTCTTACAAAAAATGAATAAAAGAAAAATATTTCATTGTCCAAGAAAATATTTGGACATAAATTATTGGTGATAATGAAAATATTTTTCATTGACTAATTATTTTAAGTGATATAAGCGATTATTTTTAGAAAAATATATTTCAAATCATTCATTCTCCACGAAATAAATAAAGCCTAAGTACTCACATTTCTAGTTTATGCGCTGTATTTTCCTTCACTCGTAATCGTCCTAGTCTCTTGTTGTCGTAATAACCCTTGTTCTGTTTGACAAATAGGGGCTTTGAGGTCTAGAGCTCTAGGAAAAGGAAGAATATATGCTTACCAGAAGTACTAACAAAGTGATTGGAGGGCTCAACGGCGGAACATTTCTTCGGATCACTCTTCTGATTGGTGAATTATATAAGTTGTGAACATCCCCCACATGCAAAATTAGTCAAATATAACTATTGGTGATGCCCATGGTTGTAATCCACCAATTAGAAAGGTGCTTGGAAGAAACTTCGGAAAACATGGTATAATATTTACTGTCATCAGCCATTCCATTTAAGCAAAACATTATCAAAGATTATTGCATATACATGATTCATCGGCATTTAACTTTTTCGACATAATATGATTTGGTAAAGACATTAATATGGTTCTGTGTAAACAGAAAGCACTATTGTAAAGCACAAGGACTTTGGTAAGACCAATTACAAAATTTCACTTCTATGTTTTAAACCCAATGGGATTTTGAGAAATGGATGGATAATTTGATTTTAGAAGCCCAAGAGACCGTAATCATCAGTGACAAAGGAAAAGCTCTCTCTTCCTTGAATAATATGCGTTTAGATGCTTTGGATATTTATGAGCCCAGCAAATCTCGATCGTTGAATAATTATACCCCACATAAAACCCATATGATCCAAAGAATAAGATCTGTCGGATTCATGTGCACCTGAAGGCAAATATAGCTTTTCTGAGAATGGTTAGATGTTTCTAGTAAACAGACCCATCTAAATGACTTGCTATGCTTCGGGACGTAAAACTTCCAAGAAATATGGCAGTTGTTGGAGAGCTCACTACGAAATAATTCAAAATAAATACTCTTGCATATCCTGATACAACCTGCTTTGTTGGCCTTTTTGAAAGATACTTTCACATCAAAGTGCTCTGTAACAGAGTGATTAACAATGACTATCAGGCTAATACTTCCCACATCAAAGTGCTCTGTAACAGAGTGATTAACAATGACTATCAGGCTGATACTTCCCAGTGCAGAATCAACAGAAGATCTCAGCAAATTTTCGGGCCATGCATACAGCAAACAAATACCGGCAAATGACTAACAGCTCTTGTGAACGTCAAATTGTCCAAAGACTGTCTAACTATGTACGTCAAACTGACACGTGCCCAGAGTAATGCTCCCTGCACAGTAGTCATCCATTGTTATGTCATCTCTTTCCGGCATTTGACAAAAATCTCCGGAGCCGTTCTGCTAGCTGCTATATAAATTCAACACCTTGGAGGCAATCAACTTGACACCCACTTCATAAAAATGAAGCAGCAGAACAAAAAAAAAAATCAACTATCCTGTCGAAATCAACATGAGAAGCTGAAGATTTAAAACCGCCCTTTCCTGAGTCGGGCCCATGTGATAGCTGCAACTGCAGCTCCTCCCAAGTGAGCCGATCCCGATATCTCACTGTCTCCCTGAACCAACCAAAAACATACGATTACAACTTCAGGCTAGATGGTCCAAAACAATTATACAAGTCTACAGGCAGTTTGTACACAACAAATTCAGAAAATTTCCTCAGATTGCAGAGGACAGAGTATCACTTCCATTTCCAACGCCCATGCACTTAAACGGCCTCTCATTTTCTTTGATGAAGGTGTTCTAAATTCAGAATTAGTCTGCTCATGCTGCTATACTACCAAGACTGTTCATTCCCGACCATTGCCAAGGGCAGCTGTTTACAAACTATTCTGAGTTCTAAATTAGGAGAAAGTATATCGGTGATACCATGCCATTGACGATGTGGTGTCACATCCAATCAATATTCACAATTGTTAAGCAAAACCACGAACTTGGCAACTTTGATATCATCGTTGCAAGAGATACTTTTTTATTATATATGATGCAATCAAGCTTTACACTAGTTATCCTATGACCATACATCAATCCTGACGACACTACAACATATCAATCGCTGTTCTATATCCAATTGAGGGATTAACTGACCAAAATGTTCATCATCATAGAAAGAGTGAAGTAATTCAACGAAAAGATTAGGTGGTCATACAGAAAAATAAAAAAGAATAAGAAGAAGAATTGATGGATACCTCAATCATCCTCAACACATCTTTGCCGACCAGAAAAATTCCCTAACAAGTAATTAAAATTTGATTTAGAGAGATATCGAAACTAATTCCCCAAATAAACAACATTATCAATAAAACCATGGAAGTCTTACCAGTAAGATGGCAGGAACGGGAATGATAAAGTCGAAGTAGAGTGTGGCTTTTGGAAAGAGAAATATATCAAGCAGCATGATAGCATTGACCGCTCCACTAGCTCCCTTAAAGGATATCACAAGTCAGATAAAACTCAAGCATGCAACATGCAAGTTAAATCACATAAAAGTTGCAGGTTCCAAGGCTATTCCCCCAATCAAGCCCAGGTTTCAGAGAGTAACATCACACACTTGCAGCACTGAGAGGCATGCTTTACTTCTGATCATGTCTACGAGCATTGTTTGGATTATAGATGACGCACCTCTACATAATGTATGAAAGATAAGAAGCCCTATTTCATGTTTTGGGACTAGAAACTGCAATCACCTATCTCAGACTAAAGCACGACTTTTCTAGACCACTTCAGATCATCGACAAACTCACATATAAAGACTTGGAATGAACTAAAAGTGGACGGGACAGGACGTCACTACTGGATTTACATAAATTACTGTCCATCTCTATAGTAGTGCTCTATTTACACATACCAATCCTGGCATTCTTGAAGGGTCTATGCTGAACATTCCTTGACCCTGCAAAGTTTGAGGAAATCAAAATTTGCATTGACTACAAGTACACAAAATAATTCTGCACAATTTCCATAAATTGAGTTTACCTTCGACTGTGAATGCATGAAAGCATGGTGCACCAAATAGAACATTGAACCACCAAAAGCCCCAGCCAGATACAACCTTAACAAGAATTCTGGTCCGAAATTTCTCCCAATCTAACCATGCAACCATTTGAAAGGTGCATAATCAATCAAAGAAAAGTAAAAACACAGGATATTATCCATCAAATAGAAAAATCAAACAACCAAAGTAAGGTATCTACTTATGTTGAGGCACAAGACCACAAACGGTACATTCTACCTAACATATTTCATATAAAGGTCCCCATTGAAAACATAAACAGAAGAGAAAGAAATCTCTCTCTCCCCAAAAAACTTGCCATCCTTCCTTGAAAATTGCATAAAAGTTACAGTCTTTCTACTGTTAAAGCTTCAGAATGAATATAAGCAGTTCTCCAAATCCAAATTAACACAAGTATTAAATAGTCAGCAAAAATAAAACTTTTGAGGGAAAAAGGGATCCTATCTGAAAGGACATAAGAAGATGAAAAGGTGTTAAGCCATACATTGTACCCGAAAAAGTAAAGTCCAATCATGTTGTAGATTAAATGCTCCATAGTCATATGGCTGAAAGCAGAAGTTATCATCGTGTGCAGACGACCGCTCTTAAAGTTGTCTAAGGAAATCTGCACCGAAGAATGACAGATTCAGTTAGATTGAGAAATGAAAATTTATAATTAGATCAGCGCCTTCAGCTCTGGTCTCATAGGAGACCTTTAATTCTAGGACAGAGATCTTACAGTGAAGTTTTTCATCATAAAACTACGATCAGCAATTTGCCATAGCATAAAAACAGCAACATTTGCAATTATCAACCCCAGAACCACATTGTCATTTGTTAGCCTTCTAAACCATGATTTCCTGCAGATGGGAAAACAAAAATACCCTCGAAAATTATGCTTTAGCTACATGAACCTACAATCAAGTGAACTTGAATCATAACAAAATGTTTCCACTGGATGGTCGAAACCATAAATCCTAACCCAGGAAAGTCAATGAACGCTCATTTGTACGGCCCTAGAAAGCAGCTTATGCAGTAGCCCTCACCTTCAGTTAAGTTTGTTACAAGGGCTAATTGAAACACTTACAAAGCATTTTTCTCGTGTGGCCATTTAATTTCTCATCAATAAGTGGCAGCAGACGAAGCGATCACCTAAAGTACTGTATCCGACTAGCCTTCCCTTTCTCTGTCTGTCACCTAGGCTAAGAAACAATAGAATTTAGGAGTTTGCAACACTCTTCCTTTTCTTTTTCTTGCATTATACCATTCACTCACTGATTGTTAAGCATGCCCCAAAGCTACCATTTGCTGTACGCAAGATCACAAAGAGGACAGCTAAAAGTTTGCAACGATCTTCGTTTTCTTTTTCTTGCTCTATACCATTCACTCACTGATTGTTAAGCATGCCCCAAAGCTACCATCTGCTGTACGCAAGATCACAAAGAGGACAGCTAAAAGCAATTGATTCGTTGATATTTTCATAGTGAGGGTTGAGAAATCCACTTGGCCTATCCTTACGCCTAATGTCGAAACTGATCCCCCTCTGACAACTATATTTGGTTTGAGTCCTAATAGTGCAACAGGCAAATCATAATCCAATTTGAATACGAGACTGAACTTGAATGGCAAATGGTAAATTTATATTCCGAACCAATTCAAGGTTGCAAATTTCCTTTCCATACTTCACAAGTTGAATATTTCCTTGGACAGATATAACTCTCTTTTCTGCTTTGGCTTATTCTGGAACATAAAGATGACATTCTAATGTCAAGAAGCAGAACTAAACAGAGATAAGGGAACGGATATTCACCCTTTTCGTTTATTTGCCCATTACATAAGAATTAGAATCCAATGAGTATTGTTAGTTTGAAAGTGAGTATAGCTCATAGCAATTTTCAGTAGCAAGACAGTGACAAACACAGTCATCTCTCTTCATTGGTCCACTCTCGGAAGAAAAAGAAAAAGGTCAGTTCGGTAATGGAAGCCCCTGAATCCCCAAGCTAAAAGAAAATGCAGAGGATCCATTACCAATTTACCATCAAACAAATCCGAACTTGTGCTAGATATGATCTGAACTGAAAAATTGAACAACCAGCGTAAAAACCCATTACCAAATCTCTATGTTAATCATCATTATCTCGCCCCCTAGTGATACAAAACCTAACAAAGATCAAGAATCCCCCCAAAACCAAGAATGACGAAACAGAGAACACTCGGGAACACTGACCAGCCGCGTCTATAGGAGTCGAAGCTGCCGCTGAATCCAGAACGCGAGTTGAAAGGCGAAGGCGCCCTGTAAAACCCAGCTCCGGAATTCACGAGCCTCTCGAGCGGCGACCTTAGAAGGGCACTCGAATGAGCCGACACTGGGGCGTTTCTCGCCTGGACCCGCCATGGTGCGTCGCCGGAGAAGAAGGAACGGGGCCAAGAGACGCCGACCTCGGCGCGGCTCGGCCTGGCGACAGTGGAGGAGCCGCAGAGGCGGGAATGGCCAAGGAACGAAGACGTCGAGGCGGCGGCGGCGGTGCCGGAGAGCTTTCTTGAGAGGCTCGAAGCGAGATTGAGAGAGACGAGCCTCTGCATCGTTCCCCTTGGAATCAAAAAGTGCGTCTCTTTTTGAATCAAGAACTCAAATTCAGAGGATGCAGAGCCATTTTACTATGAAAGTTTCGGTTTTTTTAAGGATCGAGATTTCGGGCACGACCGAAATTAAGGTTTGATGAACTTTTAGATTCTTGAATGTGAGCATCGTGCAATGCCGGCTTGATGAAATCAATCGAGAATGCAAAAGTCAAAAGAATAAAAGATTTTGACCATAGTGTGATGTTCTAACAAATTGAAATTGAAACGTCTTCCGGAAATTTTATCTTAATTTCTAAGTACATCGTTAGAAGAAAGATCACAAAGTGGGCCCCTGACGTGCGAGAATTCAAGCCCAGACGGCGTTCTTAACGAAGGGATAATGACACAAATGATTCTTAAACTTTGGCCCAACGTTTAACGTGATCTCTAAACTTTTTATATGTTCAATGTGATCCATTGAAAATTTTCATATAATTTAAGAACTGCATTGAACATGTACTAAAAATTCAAAGATCACATTGAATAAACTAAAAGAGTTCGGACCACATTACACATTAAGATAAAGTTCAAGAATCACATTAAATAAATTAAAAGTTTACAGATCACATTGTTTAGGGATCATTTATGTTACTTTTCCCTTAACGAAGGATACTGAATTCCTGATGAATGTGTCGGGTTTCTACAAATAAAAGAATTTATAAAAAAAAAAACCTACTTTTCGTCACCGTACCTTCATTATTTTCTTTTATCAGGTTTTAGGACCTTCAACTTTTTTAATCAAGTACTCATACTTATAAATATTATATAATCAAATATTTCACTCAAAATCTGATCAAATTCAATCGATGTGCCCCCCCGGATCGCGAGGTGAATTAGATAGCGCCTACATGGACACCCCCCGTGAGTTTGTTGCCAACGAATGGATTAACTTTCTTTGATTTATCCTTGATGCTTCGTGGTTGGTGTCCAAGGTCACACCGTAACAAATTTGGTCGGATTTTATGTAAAAAGGATTTGATTGGACATTTTGTATAAATAAGAGGATTTAATTAAAAAAAGTTAAAAATATAGGGGCTTGATTAGCATAGTAAGAAAAGGCAAAATTTTTTGGTTAAAAGAAGAGAGGAAAAAAAAAGAAAAAAACACTGTAGTTTCTCAGTTGAGCTCTCTGCGCATCTTGAGCGGCGGCGGCGGCGGCGGCGGCGGCGACGACGAAATTGAGGCGGCGGTTCGCGGCGAGAGCGGCGCCGCGGGGAGAGACCGTGAGCTCGGTAACCCACGTACAGCCGAGCCCGGAAGCAGGCCATCATCGCGCCAGCGAGCTCAGGCGAGAAGAAAACGGAGCCTTCGTCCTCTTCGACCAGATGAGGCCGCGGCCGAAACTGCCGGCGTTCTGCGAAACGGGACGGCGTTATCTCTCCGGAAGCGTCGCCGGCGGCTCCTCGAGCCCGAACCCACGACTCCTTTCGCAGACCCAGTACAGGAAGCAGGTCTCCCTCGCGAATCTCTTCCAAAGGTACGGTTTTTCTCCGTCCCAGTCGCCTGAATTCCTCGCAAAGAATCGGTTCTTGCTGAATGCTAGCTTGCCCGACACCGAGAGATCGCTGAGCATTTTGTCCTCGCTCAAGATACCCAACGAAATGGTGGTCTCTGTGATGAGTCGGTGTCCTGGGGTTTTGGAACATGAGTTCCTGAGGAGATGGGAGGTGGTTTTTCGGGAGTTTGGCTTTCTTGGTGTTTCCTCTGCTGGCATTATGAGTACCCTCCAGGTTTCTAGGAAATTCAACGTCGGTCCGGAAAGGTTCGGTAGTATTTTCAAAGCTTTGAAGGGTTTAGGAGTTCAGGATTGCACTTATTGCAGGATATTGGAGGAGTTTCCTGAAGTTATTGCAATGTGGGAGAGTGAAATTTCGAGGAAAGTCGATTTCTTGGAGGGAATCGGCATACCGAATGCTGCGATGGACCGTGTGTTTTGCGCTTTTCCTGGCATTTTGGGATTGAGCGTGGAGGATCGATTGAAGCCGCTGATTGTTGAGTTTAGGCATTTGGGTTTTGATAAAGGCGTGGCTCGGGAAGAGATTCTTAGAGAGCCTAGAGTTCTCGGCATGGAGCTTGGGGAACTCTCGCGTTGCTTGGAACTGCTGCGGACTTTGAAATGCCGAGAGCCGATTAAAGCAAAGATTTTGAGTGGAGGTGAATTCAGAGCTGGGTTCCAAGTGAAATTGAGGCTCGACTGCTTGTGCAGGCATGGTTTGATTCGCAGAGATGCTTTTAAAGTGTTGTGGAAAGAGCCGAGATTGATTGTATATCAGACAGGGGAGATTGAGAGGAAGATTGATTTCTTGGTAAACAATATGAACTATGATGTCGAGTGTCTAGTTGAGGTACCTGAGTATTTAGGCGTGGATTTTAAAAAACAGATCCTTCCTCGATACAATGTGATTGAGTACTTAAGATCCGTCGGGGGACTAGGCGATCCAGTAGGCCTGAAAAATTTGATAAAGCCTAGCAGGCTAAAATTTTACAACTTGTATGTCAAGCCATATCCAGAGTGCGAAAAGATTTTCAGAAGATATGAAGGAGACGAAGCTAAGAAGCGGCATCCAGTGGGACTGTGGAAGCTCTTCAAACCACAAAAGTATCCCCAGTCCAAGGATGATGCAGAAAACATAAGGTCCTTTATGGAGTTGGGTGGCTAGGATGGGAAAGTTGTAGCATCTCATCCATTAATATACTTCAAACTGAGGATCGTGAGTGGCTCACATCTATGTGAACCATCTACGGGTATGTAAATCAACTTTACGCAGGACCCAGCGTATCTGGCATATTCTGAAGTCGGGATCAGTTCTTTAGAGCCTTGATTTAACCAGATTAGGAATTGACACGTGGATGTTACATCTCTAGGTACCACATCAGCATGGTCATTTATAACCGGGGTTTGACACTCAATTGTTGCATCTCTAGGAAACGCGTCATCGGCAAGTATCAATTTGTTCTTGCTATACGGAGGAGACGTCGAACAAGACCCATTCTGCTCTTCTTCATTCTGGTCAAGTTGCTTATAGACTGCTTTCTTCAAAACTAAGTGAAACTGATAAAATGAGTTAAAAGTCATTTTGCAACACAATATTAAAGATATATATGCAGGTGGATTGTGAAAAACATTTTGATTTTCTAGTTTTTATTCTGTGGCACTAATTTTATAGATGTGTTTAGCCCTAAACTCTTGTCCTTTGTTTTGTACTTTATTACTTTGTCAAATTTTGTCTCATGGACTTGATCTTTTTTTACTTTACCTTATCAATTCTTGTAAGATGGAGTTGCTCGTGTAGCGAAGCTTATTCTTGTAAAATCTGTTGGTGAGGCTGTCAATTCTGTGTTATGTGTGAGGCCTTTCAGAAAATTTTTTAACATGCCCAGTCCCAAAACTGTTGCTTTAGTGGGAACTAATAAACTTGATGCTTTAGTTTTAATTCATTTCTATTGGAGGTATTTGTGATATTTATATCTATCGTGGCTTATATATCTGTATTCTTGTAAGCTGGAGTTGCTACTGTAGCGAAGCTTATTCTTGTAAAATCTGTTGGTGAGGCTGTCAATTCTGTTGTATGTACGAGGCCTTTCAGAAAAAATTTTAACGTGCCCGGTCCCAAAATTGTTGCTTTAGTGGGAACTAATAAACTTGATACTTTAGTTTTAATTCATTTCTAATGGAGGTATTTGTGATATTTATATCTATCATGGCTTATATATCCGTATCTTTACTTCTATAAAACAGTATTCAGTGGACAAACTTGCTTGTTGTTTCTAAGTTCACAATATCCTTGATGTTTTACTTGCAATTGTATAATATATCAAGTTATGATCCCATATCAAGAAATTAACCAACGAAGTATGTACAAATTATGCAAATGCGACGTATTTTTTACTGTTCAGCAAGTGTATTATTGATGATAGGTAATAATAATACGCAGCTCCCGAGACTCATGTAGGAGCAGCTTTGCATGTAGTCTCATCATTTCAAGGCTTCTTAGAGTGTTAAGTCCTTTCTCCTATCAGGATAGACTGATTGGATAATTTTTGCAAGTGACAATGTGAGCTTAATAACAGGGCAGGATTTTTCTTTATATTGCTTTTCGTCATTTGCAGCTTTATTTACTAACTTTGATAGCCCTTATACACCTATACACCTATAACTGTGCTGTCAGCCTGATAAAATGTCAAAATATGCAACGAACTCTGGAGACAGGAATCTTTAATCTACTACATTATTATATTGGACCATGTAGGCCTTTTCCTCAAGGATAGATAATTTGGTGAATTTTCTCTCTCTTTAGACCTGACAAATGCATTCCGGTTGTTTGGTCTGCTTAATCCCATTATGGTATATGTTGATGGGGTTTTAGTTGTTGTCATAACACAGAAGGTGAGATGCAAGGGAAGTTTCAAATGGTGGTTGTCAGGCATACTGGCCATGCCATTCAGGTTTACATGACTCCCCAATGTTAAATTGCTTTTTAGTCTAGATTTGTCTTTATGATATTAAAAATTTTAATGCGGACAATATACAGGTGGATATACATGATGAATACGCTAGACTGATGGTTAATTTATTTCTCGCAACAGAATAGGCCCTCATGGAGTCAAGGTAAATAACTATGCGGAGCTTTTAGCTTTTTGCATTCAGTTTTAGAGTTGAGGCATTGTTACTATGATCTCCTTACTCCAATTATATGGAGGCACTGCCTGAATGATGTAGAAAATAATGAATTAATGCATGAAAATTTGGAATTAATATGAAGCAGATGAATTTGTTTGATCTATTGAATACTCTGTGACAAAAAGAAAAAACAAACGAATGCTCAAATGGAGTCACCTGTAAATGCTGTTATAACTCATGGTGTCAAATTTACAAGCATGACTAGGAAATTTGATCTTACCTAGCTGTGATTAGAACTGGTAGTTTTGGTTCAGTTTCAGGGTCAGGAAACCTGTAGAAGTACTCTGTTCAGTTTGGGTGTCGGGAGAAACCCGTACCGGATTGTTGACTGGGTAATGTTAAAAATCCCAAGTTTAGGTAAAACAATGGGGAAAAATATTCGGATTTCCCGGACTAGATCTATCTGAAATGCAGTTGAATCTGACTTGGTTGTCGAACAATTGAGAGACGTAGTGAAGTGAATTGGTCAATCTCTCTAATGTCACTTCGGTGTAAGCAACCATTGACTGCAGCTTTTTGCCAACCTGGGACGACCATATTCTTATTTCCGGTGCATACAGTTATAAATTGCAACAGTTTTCTGCTTAACACTATCCTGATATATGCTGCAGATCCCGGGATTCAGCCATGGAGATCTTGAATCGAGAGTGCCATCGATGGCTGAAGGCTGCGACAACCTTGTGGTACAAGAGTACTAGATATCGCCTTGCATCTTGAGTTTATTCCTTTTCACTTCATTCTTTGGCGGAAATGGGAACAGCAGCTCATATTGAGGTTAACTTGCATAGAGTTAGGAGTCCGTATTACTGGACTTATCAAATTCATCATCTCCGTCGTCGATGATGGTCTCACATCCGGGAGTTTGTTTCTGAAGTTGCCTCTAATAATACAAACAAGGAGCTTTGCCAGTGTCCCAATGCCTGGTTCTTGTGATTGAGTAAATGAAGGCTGCAGTTTCTAGCTCATGGTCCGTACATAATCTTTCTTGGTAGTTAGTCGTGAAGTCGGATAATTGTGCCCGTGTGTTAAGGGATTTCGTCGATCTAGTCGCTTGCTTTGACAGTATGCTCCGCCTGTTCTAATAATATGCTCCACCGTGACGTGGTCTCTCTTTTTGTTACATTGCCTTGTGTGACATTCTATCCATCTAAATCTTCATTTTTCCTAGAGAATCAAAGATGATCTTTACCAAGAGACGACACACGCGTTGTCCACTCTACACAGTGGATCTGTCGTAGGGTAGGTATCAACCATTTGAGCCACTGTCTGTATGTAATGCAGCATTTGGTTCAAATGGGAGTTCAAATTTGCCACCACAGCAAACAACAAATTCTGAAGCTGCCGATCAAGACAGATCTCAGCTTCAGACAAGTTCATGGGCTTACCAGGGCAGATCCGACCCTCGATTTCCCGATCGATTCGTGAACTTCTCCAGGCTCGAATTTGTTCGCATACGGCCAAGCCGTCTCATTGCGGATTACGGCCCACACAGTCGACATCGCCATGTGCTCGCAGACATGAGGTGTCGGCCGAGCCCATTGGAGATCCGATCCAGGCATCCACTTTAGGCGTGTGTGTTCCCAGTGACCACCACTGACCAGTTGACCTTGACCACCGTGTACAGTCTAGCCCACTGCAAAAAGGCCATTTCGTGACTGCTTTTTTTGCTGGTAATTGGTAAGTTAGGAATAATTTTAGAGAATGAGTGAGCTCGCAGGCTTGAGGGAACACCATTTCTCGACTTATCAAAAAGGAGAAAGAACGACCATTTCTTGTTTGCAATTGCAAATTCTATTCCTGAATAAAGGCGAAAAATAAAAACAAAAGGAATTTTCGGCTGTATTTGGTCGGCCAGATATAACTCCAAATTACATCATATATGATGACATTTGGGGTGACGCGAAATCTAAATATGTCTGAATATTATCCGAATATGATCCAAATAAAAAGGTCTCACCTTGATAGGATATAATTAGGATATGTTCGGATGTTGCCTTGAAGCTCTTCTCTCTCCCCTCTGCCCACCCATAAGCGCCACCCACAGCCTCCGTAGCCACTATTTCATGCATGCAGATACCATTGTCTCGGTGATTTTGACCTGCCCATTGCAATTGTCGCCGCCGACGATCGAGGCAGTGAATGAAGACATTGGTGCCGCATGTCCTTGACGGGCTCTAGCTCCGTCTCCATGAGAGCACGGTGGCAGTGGGCGGTCGCCCTGGTGCTAAGCTCGATGATGAGCCTGAGCTCCGTCTCATTGCCACCGACGAGGCTTGTCATGGTGACAAGCTTTAGAGGATGACATCAAGATCTCGGCCCAAATCTTGTTGGTGCAATTAGGATCGTGCCGAGATTTGGAGTTCACTAATATATTACAACACAATGGACTTTAATAGACAGATATAAAGTTCTTCCATGGCGAAGCTTGACTCAACATTGGCCACGGAGGAGATCCTTTATAGTTGAGCTTAACTCGATGGTCACGGAGCTCAATGGCCATGAGATCAGGAGGCCAATGGACACTCGAGCTCGAGGAGAGAGAGAGAGAGAGAGAGAGAGAGAGAGAGAGAGGTGGTGGGGGTGACGGTACTTGGTGTCAACGGCAGCTTAATAGGTGGCAGCAGAATGGTAACGGCGACGTCGACCGAGGGTTGATGACAAGGGCGTAGAGATAAAGGGGGAAGAGAGAAGAATTCCGTGTTCGGGTAAAACAGTACCATGTTTATATCTATGTTATATACGGACATTTACTAAGAACATTGCAAATCTTTTAATATCCTTGTTCCGTCCAACTCAATCTTAGCAGGCGAAAGTATCCGAGCAATCAAACGTAACCTGAAGTTAACGAAGGGAAAAATGCAGGATAGGACAAGGACAGCAGGCAATATTGGTCAACGTGCGAAAGAAGACCAATGGCAGATACGTACGTTACATATATTCAGATTCGGGGAGTTTCGCAGTGGGTGCGCAAAGAACAGAATAAGACCAATCGACCCTATCCTCGGGTACAGACAATCAGTTCAATGGGCCAAACTAACGACACAAGAGAGACAAAGCCAAAGGAAAAGGGAAAAGAAGCCGAGAGAATTGCATCGAAGATTTGCTCGCCAAAGGGAAAATAGGGTTGGGAAGATATTCCTCCAAGAGGAAATGTATCAAGATGCTGCATATGTGGGGAAGAACAGGAAGACGAAAAAAGAAGATAGAACCCGAGAAGAGAGACGCAGAATTCTCCAGAAAAAAGTCATTAGACAGTGACGAATTCGGGGAAGCGTCAGTGGGAAAGAACTATTTTGAGTTCACAATAGTGGTAAATTCGCGCTTTTGGTACGATGAGAATATCATGTTTAAGGTTTACCACGCTTTTGGTACGATGAGAATATCATGTTTAAGGTTTCGGATTTGTTCGCGTGCCGCTACCCACTTGCAAGGTCGTCGCCACTGTCCCGCCGTGGTGTTTGTGGGGAGTCCGAAACCCGCGCGATCCATCTAAGTTTGAGCCCGTCTTTCGCATATTAAGCGAGAGTTATTGAAATCGAGGAAAGACTGAGGAATCGCACCCTGAGCTTCAACCAGCAAATAAAGATCTGGACCCTTTTGACTAATCGCCATTGCGGCGCCTCAAAGGCATTTGTTAAGTAGCTAATTAGGAGCATCTTACAATTTTCAACACGCTTTCCTTTTTCATCTTTAAGCCCTCCGTACTTATTAACATGGACCGACCTATTTGAAAGTGACAGTTTTCTCTTTAAGCTTGCAAAATGTTGAAACGATCCAGAAGAGAGAAATGGTGACCACCGAGCATGGTAGATCTAGCGGCAAAAGGGTCTCATTGCCGTGAGTAAAGAGGGGTCACTATGTTGTAAGTTCAAGTCACGTGTGAGTGAACCTCTGACTAGCTTGTGCCTTGGGTCTTTGCTACTTTATAGGAAGAGAGTTTTTGACTCCTGACGTTGAAAGGGCTGCGATGGTAGACTCGTATATATAAAGTGAACTAAGTAATTATAATTCAAATTGAACATTTTGTTGAGTATGGGACCCTTAATGCATGGAAGATATCGCACGGAAGAGCCCATCCTACCCTTTGACTTATAAAAAAGAAAAATAGAAGAGGGGGTCGGCCATCTTAATTGACAATACTTGATACAAATTTGCACGACTATTTATGGAACTGTTGTACCCCGGTCTCTAATTAGCGTATGATAACTTCTTTCGTCTTACACCATAATCGAAATTCCATTTAGCTTTCATACAAATCAGACCCATCATTTCGCTTGGCCGAGCAAGTATTTCTGATGACATCGCGCTTTAGAATGCGTTGAGTTTATGTGATCCCGGTTCAAGTAAAAAAAAGAGCTTCACAACCAAACTTTTTCCTTAACTTTTATTTAGTGCGAAATTATCTAAAATCATTCAATGGGTATAAAAATTTACCTTAAATTGACGTCTGATTTTTTTCAATATTTTCAAAATGACTTTTTTATCTTCAAAATTTGTAAAAAAAAAAACAAGTGAAATCTGCTCAAACAAAGCAAATCCAAACAGGATGTAACTACAGACCAAAAAAAATAAAACAGGATGTAACTTGGGTTGAGCTAATAAAAAGAAGTGGTTGAAAGTTTTTTACCCCCTGGACGTTGAATGACAAATGTACCCCTGGAGCTCCGTTTCTTTCATGTCGTTTTACATAAGAACCACCTTTGGGTAGAGAATTACGAATCTGCCACGGTATTGGAGTGGTAACTAGATGGTTGGTTGGGAACTGGAGGATCTGCTGTTTCGTTCGTTTGTTATGGAACCAAATCCTCTGTCAGCCGCAAAAACAAACCTATGATGTGTCCCACCTCCTCTTCGGACTTGGGAAAATACTAAATTCCAATTTCTCCTTTCTTCGAACCAAATTCTTCTTTTTTTTGGTCAAACATTTCTTTCTGAAAAGGGTCATGATAAATACTTGCTATAATGTTTTTCTAAATGGCAAAAGTCACCGAAAAACCTAAATTATCCCAATTGTGACATATTTACTTTAAACTTTTTTTCTATGACAACAAAAAAAGAAAATTATACCTGTGTGACATATTTTTCCTCCGTCAAAATTCTGTCGATGAGAACCGTTTAGACACATGGACGCTAGAAAGCAAAATGTATTGAGACGATACTCACGTATAAGTGAAATAATGACGACATTGTTTTGGCAGAAAAATCATTTGATAAAAACTTGATAGAGGGTAAATGTGTCACATATGTATAAGTTTAGGGTTTTTAATATCACAAGAAAAAAATTAAGATAATGTGTCACAGAAAGCATAGTTTGGAGTTTTTTACGTCATAAAAAAGTTCTGATAGATGTATCATAATAAGCATAATTTGAGTTTTTTTTTTTGTAACTTTTTCCCTTTTCGAAATGGTAGTTTAAAAGGATGGCTATTTAAGCATTTTTTATGATGGCGAAAAAATCCGATTTTTCAAAATATTAATTGTAGCTATCGCAAGAAAGCTGATGCATTGAAGGTGTGGGTTTTTTTTTATATATATATACTTGATTGCTTAATGGAATTTCAAGAGGGCTATTCAGTAAAATTTAAAGGAAATTAATGAAGATTAATTATTCTAAATAGGCAGTCTCACTTTCATGATATATAGTCAAGAGTCATTTTGGATGATGAGATCAACTCAATTAATTCAACGTAGAGACATCATGATCAATAATAATAACGTACGCAAAAGATATTGACATACTGTCTAATCATCGATCTAAATCTGAAATAAAAAATGAGATATACTTTCAAAAGTCTCTTATTTGAATAATTAGTCGGTTATTGTAGAATTCAAAATTGATATGATGACCTTGATATGGTGCCCTGAAGCTAAACACAACAATGTTGTCGTGCTAGTTAACAACCTCGGATTTGGAAGATCAATTGTTAATTGGGAGATAAGAGATACTTTATATCACCGAATTA